GTAATGGGCTTGGTGAGCTCTATGGTGCAGGAGAGTGTGCACAATGTGAGGATAGCTTGTGAAGTTGAGCCAACCAGCAGAGTGACTCTCATCCCCAAAGTCCCACCTGTAATCTTTGGTGGTCAGCACCTCATCTTGTACGCCAGGCTGCCCTCCACAACCACTGTAAGTTTACTGTACTAATGCAGCCTTAATATTGTTGTCTTCAAACTAATTGTTTGTTGAACCTATATCATTGTAGTTAACTAAGACATTACCACAAACAGTCTTATAGTACACAGTGTTTCAACAGTCTTATAGTACACAGTGTTTCAACAGTCTTATAGCACACAGTGTTTCCCCTACAGTACAGTGGCAGGAGATCACGGGCACCTAGCATTTTACTTTACATAATTTATATTGTATGTGTAGCTGTGCACTCCCCCAAAACTAGGCTTTCAACCTCAAGTGGCAGCTAAGGTTACCCTAATCCTAACCCCCCCCATATGTGTAAAAGGGAAATGTAAGGGACATGTAATTTCCACAGATGGCAGCCAGTATCCCTATAGCTAACTTTCAACAATGATGGCTACCATTTAGGGGTTAATGTTATATGTAGGAAGACTGTCACTGATACTTTGCCTACAAGATCAAGACCATCATGATATCAGTTTGGTCTGAGTTTGCTTATTTGTTCTTGTCAGATATAAACTAGTGCAGTAATCATCAGAGTGTTGTATTTAAAGTTGAATGACACACAACTTACAATATTAAAGTGGAAATAGATGTGTTGGTTCAGCAGCTCATGTACCTCTTAATGGGTAATTTTCAATAGTAGTCATAGTAGTATTACAGTAGTACTGTAGGAGTAGTAGTAGTATGGTTGGCCAGTAGAAGGTTTGCCCTCCCAGTGCATGTGTGGCTCATCCTATGACATCGACCACGCCATGGTGTGTAAGAAAGAGGGCTTCGTATGCATGAGGCATGACAAAGTACAGGATCTCACAGCAAATATTTTGAAGGAAATCTGCCATGACGTCACAGTGGAACGGACCCTCCTTCCATTGGGCGGTGAGAACCTCCATCACAGGACTTCAAACACATCCAACAAAGCTCGTGTGGACGTCAGTACTGGAGGACTGGATGCGGGGACAGCAAGCCTTCTTCGATATAAGGATTTTTCGACCCTATGGTCTCATGTCACCGTAACCTAGCTCTCGATGCTGCACACAAGAGGAACGAGAATGACAAGAGCAGGGCACATGGGGAGAGAATTCAGATGTTGATCAAGGCAACTTCACCCCTCTGGTGTTCACCACCTCTGGTGGGATGGGATTGCAAGATGTTTCTATGCAAGACTCGCCGAGGTGTTATCCGAACAGAAGCAGCAGCCTAGAAGTTACCTTACAGCCTGGTTGAGATGTCTACTGTCTTTCTCTCTGCTTAGGTTTGCACTGCTTTGCTTCGGGAACTAGATTTTCAGCCCCAAAGCCGACAGCAGCTGCAGATATTGACTTTGAGGCAACAGTTACTGAATGTTGCATAGATCTGCGGCTTAACTAACTCAACACATAAGTAGCTACTTATGTATTAGGATATTTAATTTTAAGGCAATAAAATGGCAGTGAAGGTGTGGCTATTGGGGGAGGCTGGAGGCCACATTGAAAAGTTAGAACAGTAGTAGTAGTAGTGATAGTACAGTCTCACCCAAAAGTTCATTAACTCAACCAGCCAGCTATTGCTGCACTGCCTGCTTCAGATGTATGAACTTGAGTCTGTTACTTCGAACCTTTAGATTCATTCGTATCGGTTTCATGTTCTGGTTGGTACTGAGACAGTTTCAAACATCTGAAGCTGGCAGTACAGCAATAGCTGGCTGGGAGAGTTAACCAACTTTTGGGTGAGACTGTACAGTAGTTGTAGTAACCTGTCACCTCTCTGCCTTTTTCTCATAAGAACTAGTTTCCTCTGTATGGGACGAAGCAGATGTTGCAGGCGGCCATAACTGTCGCCCGAAGTGTGGAGCACTTTGCCGGGTAACAGCTCATGCTGCGTCTGTGCTAGCCAGAACCAAAATTGCACAAGCTGTGAATGTGCGAGAAACAACCGACAATGTGTGGGGTGTAGAAAGGGTAACAGCTGCTGGATTCCCCATGTCAGGGAGCCGACACAGGAGGCCACGGTGGATATTGCCCGAACACAACCGCCCGATGATATCCTGAATGATAGAAGTGAGTTTACTCCATCTGAAAATGTAGTACAGTAGTACCCTGATTTACGCGGTCAATTGAACCCACAGGGTACCGCGGAAAGTGAAAACCGCGTAAAGTGAACAACAGAACATATGGGATTAATTCCAATAGAGACTGGCCCGACCCCCAAACTCCACTTTTTGACGACACACAACTATGTTGTAGTAAAAATTTTATCTTAACTTTATGATGGTATGAACAAACAAGTAATATAGAAGAGGTTAGGTTAGGAAAAATAAAGGTTAAGTTAGGAAAAATAAAGGTTAGGTTAGGAAAACTAAAAGTTATGTTGAACACTTATGTTAGTAGAAGAGATGGGTCGGCATACGGGGATGGAGGCTGGTTCCGAGGCAGAGGGCAGATTACTGGCCCTCAGGTGAATCACCATTACTAGGTGCATCACCATCACTGTCACTTACAGTTGTCAGGGCTTCCCTGACAAATCCCTCAAAGTCACCTTCACTGTCACTATCACTGGCTCTGGCTGGCTGTGGATGCACGTATACACGGTGTGGTCTTGAGGGCTGAAACTGCCGTGGCTAGGTCAAGCGTCGTCTTTCCTCCCTCCCTCTCTCCCCGGGTGGACACGTCATATTACTTTAAACCAATTACAGCTAGCAGCAGAGGGGGGTAGGGATGCATGGCCAATCACAGTCCGATACGTCATATGATGTCAGTGATAACGCAACAGAGACATGCACTGCGCAACCTTACCGCGCGGCTTGCCCAGACGGAGGCGGGAGCAGGCGGGTGGGGCGAATCTAAAAATAGTGTCGAGCTGGACACTCTGCGCATATATGGGTAGATGAACTGCGTAAAGTGAAAGTTCGGTTCTGGCGAGGCACCGCGTATATGAGAAATCGCTTAAAGTGAAACCGCGTAAAGCGGGGTAATACTGTACCAATAAACGCTGCTCCAACATTAGAAGATGCCCACGAGGTAATTGACAGACAGCCACCACAGTGGAATGGCATGTCGATGGAAAATGTGGATATATAGGTTAAAGAAATCAACTCAGAAGTTGTCAGGTGGTCGCCAGCTAACCTATTTGAACCACCCAAGTGTGTGGCCACCAAAGAGATGATACGGGAGATGACTCGCCTCATAACCGAGTACACTCAGGACAGCTTCCTTGCCCCTTTAGCTCTTCAAATACTGTACTGTCAATAATACCCCATCTATTCTGTCAGAGGACACGCGCAAGGATTAAGCACAAAGAGAATGTGGCAGCAATGAAGAGAAGATTAACAATGTGGTAGAAAGGGGCCCTTGATGATCTCCTACATGAAGCAAGAGCACTACAGGATAGACTAAAATTCATAGGAGACGGAAAGCAAAACACCGGTGACGTTGCAAGAAAGTTTGGAAACAAGATGCGTGTGGGAAAAGTGTCTTTGGCGGTAAGATCTCTCACAGAGGAATCCTCCGGTGGGGTTCTGCCAATAAACAGTGAGACAAACAACTACTGAAGGAGAAACATCCCCCTGCAAGTGAGGAGGAAGGCATCAGGTTCAAGGGTGACTATATCCCGCCAAATGCTGTCATGTTCGAGAAAATAACAGGTGGGATGGTGTGGAAAAAAGCACTAAAAACACAGGGTGGGGCCAGCCCTTCAGGCCTGGATGCAGACAGTTGGAGAGTCATCCTCAGTACTAACAAGTTTGGCACTGTAGCAAGTGATCTCTGCAATGCCATCACTGCCCTTGCAAGAAAGCTAACAACCTCATGCTGTCATCACCTTCATGCTCTGATGGCCTGCTGTCTCATTCCCCTGGATAAGAATCCAGGAAGTTGGCCTTCAGGGGTGGGGGAAGTGCTGAGGCGGATCATCGGAAAATGCATAATGGAGGTGATAAATATGATGTCAGGGCAGCAGCAGGGAACCTGCAAGTTTGTGCTGGCCACCAGGCTGGAGGGGTAGCTGCCATTCACGCCATGAGAACGATATTTGAGCAGCGTGATTGTGAGGCTGTGCTCCTGGTTGACGCTTCCAATGCATTCAACATACTCAACCTCAAAGTTACACTGTGCAACATCAGATCAAGTGTCCAAGCTTTGCAATGTATGTTGAAAATACCTATAAGAACCCATCAGATCTCTATATAACAATAATAAAGGCTCTTAAGAGGTGATACCATCACACAGTCAACTGAGGGAACAACGCAGGGGGACCCTGTTGCAATGGCAATGTACGCAATAGGCCTATCCGTGCTCCAACACACAATCAAATTTGAAACAACCGCAGTCAAGCAAGTGGCTTACGCTGACGACCTTACAGGTGCAGGAAAAGTGGTGGGACCTGATAACATCACGTGGCCCATAAATTGGGTACCACCCAAATGCCAGAACACTATGAACGGGCAGTGGATGTGTTCGGTGGAAGTGAGGTAAAAATAACAAAGGAGGGTCAAAGACACTTAAGGGCGGTAATCGGCATGAAGGACTTCAAGACTGAGTATGTGATGTGAAAGGTAAATGAGTGGGTCACAGCTCTGTCAGATATTGGAGTCATGCAATGCTGGAACTACCTGATGCGCACTATCCCTGATATCGGACCCTGCCCTTTGCCCTCTGGAAGAAGCCATCAGTGTCAATTTCATTCCCAAATTAGTGAAACACTGTCACTTAACCCCAGCAAAAAGGTCAATCCTTGCCCTACCACTGAGACTGGGAGTAATGGGATTGACCAATCTAGAGGAGATTGCTACCACCGAGCATCAAAACTCAGTTAAGCTCACGGCAGCCCTCACCAACCACATAATAGCTCAGAACTCAACAGGCGTCGTGGATACCAGCGAAGTAAGCAAGATTCGACGGTCCATCACGACAGAACGACAGCACGGCCAAAGTGATAATTTGCAGCAACTGATGCTACAAGTACCAGAGAATTTGAAATAAAAAGTATCTGTAGCGCAGGAGGTGGGCGTCACGAAC